TGAGAATAAACTCTAGTAAGATTGATTGATTGATTGAGACAGAGTCTTGCTCTGTCACCCAGGCTGAAGTGCAGTGGCATGATCTCAACTCACTGCAACCTCCACCGCCCAGGTTCAAGCAATTCTCCTGCCTTAGCCTCCCAGGTAGCTGAGATAACAGGCATCCACCACCATACCTGGCTAATTTTTGTATTTTTAGTAGAGAGAGGGTTTTGTCATGTTGGCCAGGCTGGTCTTGAACTCCTGGCCTCAATCCGCCTGCCTGATCCACCTGCCTCAGCCTCCCAAAGTACTGGGGCTACAGGCATTAGCCACTGCACCCAGCCTCTAGTAAGATTTAAAAAAACAAATAAAAAGAAAGACTGATATCCAAGATCAGTGGACCAACCTCCCCTGCCCTGCTTCAAAGAAAAGTGGTAAAGAAAATACCAAGAATATGATTGTGTAGATAGCCTAAAAAACAATTAGTCCAAACTGGTCTTGGACTGCAGTGTGTGACTAGACTAAATTTGGGACACAGCCTATGGTTTGAACCAGCCTTGACAGGCTAGAGTGTATGACTGAGATCTTGGGGAAAAGTGAAACTATAATAACAGGGAAATAAATAAGAAAATAAGAAACTCCAGGGGGAAAATTTTATAAGAGAGTTACAGTTCTAATATAAAATATAAAGACACGATTGGAAGCAACTGATAAGTTTCAAAAAGAGAATTCACTTTTTCTTCATTTTCTCATTTGAATAGTCCAGGGTCTATGACATTGAACCTACAGAGAAAGAAATAAAAATCCAGAAAATGCTGCTTGGCCTGACAGTGAACAATATTTACTTAGCTATAATAATGTAAATACTGTTTACTAGCTTTCAATTTTTAAAGATAAATTATGAACAGACCATGAAAGGCTTGGCTGTGTTCAGAAGACAGAATGCACAGGTCAAAAGGAAAAATGTACCTAACAGAAAGGTAAGGATGCTAATATCCTCACCTGACAATGTGAGTCAAGAAATAGTGCTGGAGGAGAAAAAGAAGAAGAAGAAAAAAAAAAACAACAGGTTTAAAAAAAAAAAAAAAGAAGGAAATAAAGGAAAAGAAAGAAGGCTGGGGGCGGTAGTGTATGCCTGTAATCCCAGCACTTTGGGAGGCTGAGGTGGGTGAATCACTTGAGACCAGAAGTTTAAGACCAGCCTGGCCAACATAGCAAAATTCCCGTTTCTACTAAAAATACAAAAATTAGCCAGGCATGGTGGCAAACACCTGTAATCCCAGCTACTTGAGAGGCTCAGGCAGGAGACTCACTTGAGCCTGGTAGGTGGAGGCTGCAGTGAGCCAAGATTGTACCACTGTACTCCAGCCTGAGTGACAGAGCAAGACTCTGTCTCAAAAAAAGAAAAAAAAAATTAAAAAGGAAAGGAAGAAAGAAGGAAAGAGTGCTGAAAATTAACCTAAAAAACAGGTTCAAGAGTACTTCTGAAAGTTAAAAATGTAACCAACACTTTATGGGTTTAATTCAGTTTTTTGTTTTTATTTTGTTTTGTTGAGACAGAGTCTGGCTCTGTTGCCCAGGCTGAATTGTGTCCCCCAAAAGATGTTAAAATCATAACCCCTCCTCAGTTCTTGTGAATGTGACTTTATTTAGAAAGAGGGTCTTTGCAAATGATCAAGTTGAGATGAGCTCATTAGGGTGGTCCCTAATCCAATGACTGTCCTACTTATTTTGAAAAAGGAAATTTGAACACAAGAGACAGATATGCATAGAGGGAAGACAATTTGAAGATACAGAGAAAACCAAGGTAAGGGATGCCTAAGGCTACCAAGCTAGAAGAAAATCATAGAATAGATTCTCCCTCACAGCCCTCAGGACTTCTAGCCTCCAAAAGTCTGAGACAATAAATTTCTATTGTTTAAGCCACCTAGTTTATGAAGTTTTGTTACAAAAGTCTGAGGAAACTAAGAAACAGTAGAAGAACAGGAAATAATACAAATATTAAGTGGGGGTATAGTGTGAGGTAAGTTCCTATTTTTCACATTGGAGAGGCAAAAAAAATGTTGTCCTTTTTATTAATAAAAAAATTAAGAAGAAAGAGCATACGCATATAATTCAGAATTATGGAGGTCACCAAAAAGGAGAATGTAAAGAAAGTGAAGCTCTTGTGCATTGCTGTTGGGAATATAAAATTGCGCAGTACTATGAAAAACAGCATGGTGACACCTCAAAAAATTAAACATGGAATTACCATATGATCCAGTAATTTTACTTCTAAGAACATACTAAAAAGAACTAAAACAGGGACTTGAAAAGATGTTTGTATACCCATGTCTTTTTTTTTTTTTTAATTGAGACAGTCTCGCCCTGTTGCCCAGGCTGGAGTGCAGTGGCACAATCTCCGCTCACTGCAACCTCCACCCACCAGGTTCAAGAGTTTCCCGCCTCAGCCTCCAGAGTAGCTGGAAATTACAGACACGCGCCACCACACCTGGCTAATTTTTGTATTTTTAGTAGAGATGGGGTTTCACCATGTTGTCCAGGCTGGCCTTGAACTCCTGACCTCAGGCACCATGCCTGGCTTACACACATGTTCACAGCACCATTAGTCACGAGTGTCCATCAATGAATGAATGGATATGAATGAATGTAGTATAAACATACAAGAGAATATGATTCAGCCATAAAATAGAAATTCTGAGACATGCTACAGGTGATCCACCTGCCTTGGCCTCCCAAAGTACTGGGATTATAGGCATGAGGCACCATGCCCGGCCTACACCCATCTTCATAGCACCATTAGTCACAACAGCCAAAAGATGGAAGCAGCCCAAGTGTCCATCAATGAACAAATGGATATGAATGAATGTAGTATAAACATACAACAGAATAGGATTCAGCCATAAAATAGAAATTCTGAGACCTGCTACAACATGGATGACTTGAAAACAAGGTCATCCTACGTGAAATAAACAAGATACCTTTGTGAAATAAACTTACATGAAATAAACCAGACACCAAATGACAAACACTGTATGATTCCACTTACATGAGGTAACTATTATAGTCAAATTCATAGTGACAGAAAGTAGAATAGTGGTTGTCAGCAGCTGGGGGAGAAGGAAATGGGGATAGTTTTTAATGGATATGGAGCTTCAGTTGGAGAAGATTAAAAAGTTCTGGAGATGAATGGTGGTGATAACTACACAACAGGAAAGTACATAATGTCAGTGAATTGCATACTTTAAAAGTAGTTAAAATGATAAATTTAATGTTATATTTATTTTACCACAAGAAAAGTAGGTATATAAACACATTAACATGTAAAACCTTTTGAGTGCTGCAGAGGTTCTCTCATATCTCTTTCCAGTCACAACCTCCCATCTCCCACCAGAGGAAGTATGGGTCTGACCTCTATCATCAGAGTTTAGTTTTACTTGGTAGGTAACTGTGCCACATCTACTTTTTTTTTTTTTTTTGAGACGGAGTTTCGCTCTTGTTACCCAGGCTGGAGTGCAATGGCGCAATCTCAGCTCACCATAACCTCCGTCTCCTGGGTTCAGGCAATTCTCCTGCCTCAGCCTCCCAAGTAGCTGGGACTACAGGCGCGCACCACCATGCCCAGCTAATTTTTTGTATTTTTAGTAAAGACGGGGTTTCACCATGTTGACCAGGATGGTCTCGATCTCTTGACCTCGTGATCCACCCGCCTGGGCCTCCCAAAGCGCTGGGATTACAGGCGTGAGCCACCGCGCCCGGCCACATCTACTTTTTCTTATCCATTTGGTTTATTTCACTCAACCTTTTATCTATGAGATTCATCCATGTTGTTGTGTGTACTGGTAATTTGTTCCTATTTACTACTGAATAAAATTCCATTTTATCAACAGTGTACATCAATTTTTTTTTGAGACATGGTCTTGCCCTGTTGCTCAGGCTGGATGGAGTGTAGCAGCGTGATCTCGGTTCACTGCAACCTCTGTCTCCTGGGTTCAAGCCAGTCTCCTGTCTCAGTCTCCTGAGTAGCTAGAATTGCAGGCATGCACTACCACCACAACCAGTTAATTTTTGTAATTTTAGTAGAGATAGGGTTTTACCATGTTGGTGAGGCTGACCTCAAGTCATCTGCCTGTCTTAGCCTCCCAAAGTGTTGGGATTAGAGATGTGAGCCGCCACGGCCGGCTGTTTATCACAATTTATTTAACTATTCATCTGTTTTTGAATTCATTTTTTCTGGCTATAATACATAAAGCTGCAGTGAACATTTCTATGTGTACTTTTGTGTCGACATGTATTTTTCATTTTTCAAAGGTGAATACCTAGAATTAAAATATCTGGGTTATCAGATACATGTATGTTTCTCAGATATTGCCAAAGAGTTTTCTAAAACTGTGGAGTTGGTTTACATGCCCACTTAAAACTTGGAGATCATCTGTGCTCTACCCACAGAAGCTTTAATTCAACAAGGGCAGGCTGGCAGGGCAATGACATTGGTCTTTTTTTTGAGAAGGAGTTTCATTCTTTGGTGCCCAGGCCAGAATGCAGTGGGGTGTGATCGTGGCTCATTGCAACCTCTGTCTCCCAGGTACAATGGATCCACCTGCCTCAGCCTCCTGAGTGGCTGGGATTATAGGCACATGCCACCACACCTGGCTAATTTTTGCATTTTTGGTAGAGATGGGGTTTCATTATGTTGGCCAGCCTGGTCCTGAACTCCTGAACTCAAGTGAGCCACCTGCCTCAGCCTCCTAAAGTGCTGGGATTACAGGCGAGTCACCACACCCAGCCTGACTTTGGTCTTCTTTTCTTTTTAAAAAGCTCCTTAAGTGTTTCTGATTCACAATCAGGTTAAGAAGTTTCTTAAAGGATGATAATTACAATGTTGTAATTGCAAAAAATAAGCTACTCTTACTGCTTAGAAACAAAATGAAGCAGGAAAGAATCTGATGTTAGCTTTATTTAAGGACACTACTTGACTGGCAAAAGCCTCCTCACAGTTCTGGTTTTATTTCTCTTACCTTAGTTATTTGAACTGCATCATCCATTACCACTCATTGGAATTCCATAAATACTGTGGTTTTTTGATTTTGTTTTTTTAGTTGTGTCACCTGCAACCAAAGGAAAAATACCTTTAGAAACATACAACACTCCTGGGTAGACAGTTTTAGCTTTGGAATTCAAGACCAGCCTAGGCAACATGCAAAATCTCATCTCCACAAAAAGTAGCCAGGCATGGGTGGCACGTGCATGTAGTCCCAGCTACTCAGGAAGCTGAGGCAGGAAAATTGCTTGAGCCCACAAGGTGGAGGTTGCAATGAGCTGGGATTGTGCCACTACACTCCAGCCTGGGAAAGAGTGAGACCCAGTCTCAAAAGAAAACAGCCAGGCACAGTGGCTCACACCTGTTATCCCAGCACTTGGGGAAGTCAACTGGATCACCTGACGTCAGGAGTTTGAGACCAGCCTGGCCAACATGCCGAAACCACATCTCTATTAAAAATACAAAAATGAGGCCGGGCGCAGTAACTCAAGCCTGTAATTCCAGCACTTTGGGAGGCCGAGGGAGGTGGATCATGAGGTCAAGAAACCAAGACCATCCTGGTCAGTCAGCATGGTGAAACCCCGTCTCTACTAAAAATACAAAAAATTAGCTGGGCATGGTGGCGCGTGCCTGTAATCCCAGCTACTCAGGAGGCTGAGGCAGGAGAACTGCCTGAACCCAGGAGGTGGAGGTTGTGGTAAGCCGAGATCACGCCATTGCACTCCAGCCTGGGTAACAAGAGCGAAACTCCGTCTCAAAAAAAAAAATTAGCCAGGCATGGTGGCGCATGCCTGTAATCCCAGCTACTTGGGAGGCTGAGGCAGGAGAATCGCTTGAACCCAGGAGGCAGAGGTTGCAGTGAGACCAGATCACGCCACTGCACTCCAGTCTGGGTGACAGAGTGAGACTCCGTCTAAAAAAAAAAAAAAAGAAAAGAAAAGAGAAAGAAATGGATAAAAAATAAAAATAGCCCTATTTTATTTTTTCAGACAGGGGTTCACTCTTGTTGCCCAGGCTGGAGTGCAATCGTGTGATCTCAGCTCACAGCAACTTCCGCCTCCCGGGTTCAAGTGATTCTCCTGCCTCAGCCTCCTGAGAAGCTGGGATTACAGGCATGCATCACCGCACCTGGCTAATTTTGTACTTTTAGTGGAGATGAGGTTTCTCCATGTTGGTCAGGCTGATCTCAAACTCCCAACCTCAGGTGATCCGCTCAACTCAGCCTGCCTGCCAAAGTGCTAGAATTACAGGCATGAGGAACCGTGCCCAGCCTGAAAAAACAACTCTATTTAAACACTATGGATTGTTTCGGAGAATGGAGTATACCCTAACAAGATGTTTCACAGAGGTGCGCTTAAAATTCTAGGAGCCACAGAACAAAGATCCATCTTAAATAGTTCAGATCACTGAATAGCTCATAGGTCTTTCCAGTAAGGGTAGTATGGAACACTCCTCTGTCGCCACTACAGGGTCATTTATATATACCATTAGACCCTTCCCTAGGGAACATAAGGCAGTATCTAAAGATAGTTTTGACTGTTACAACTAATAGCAGGGAGGCTGTGCTGAAAGCATATAGGGGATAGAGGCCTAGGATGCTGCTAAACATCTTACAAATCACAGGACAACCCCCTATAACAAAGAAGTATCTGGTCCCAAACGTCAACAGTGCCAAAGCTGAAAACCTCTACATTGGTCAAAGACCTACCTTTAGCCAATGACTGTGCAAAGTTAGTACAAGAGCCGAGCCATTTCTACCCCTTGTGGCATTCCTCTATTAGGCAATCTGAGTGGGCAGAGACTTTGTCAGGTGTGTGTTGCAGTCTGATGGCTCCCCATACTCAAACATGTTCCCTTCCCTGTTTCTTCACAGGCATTACTCCCCTAATAAGCCCTCTGCCCTCCAACCCCATCTGTGTCTGCTTCCTGTAGAATCCAGCTAGTATATAAATTAACATTCACATCCACACTGGAGTGTGCATTCACAGTGAATGAAGAAACAAGAACCACTGGAGGAAGAGACTTCCAATAAACAAACCAAAATGGTAAAAATCCTAGACTTCTGTACTATCCAAGTATTCCATAATAACCAACTATTATTTATATATAATAAAAAAGCCCATTCCCAGGTACTAAGAAACTAAAAGATCAGACAATGAACTTCACAGACATCTCATAAACTCAGCTTCCTCATTTGTTAAATAAAAGTTGTACTAGGCCAGGTGCAGTGGCTCACGCCTGTAATCCCAGCACTTTGGGAGGCTAAGGTGGGAGGATCAGGAGGTCAGGAGTTCAAGACCAGCCTGACCAACATGGTGAAACCCTATCCCTACTAAAAACACAAAAATTAGCCGGGCATGGTGGTGGGCACCTGTAATCCCAGCTACTAGGGAGGCTGAGGCAGGAGAATAACTTGAATCTGGGAGGTGGAAGTTGCGGTTAGCCATGATCACACCATTGCACTCCAGCCTGGACAACAAGAGTAAAACTCCGTCTCAAAAAGAAAAAGAAAATTTAAAAAAAAGTAGTATTATTAATAGTTTAAAAACTTTTAGAAGAGACAGACTACAGAGCCCATTCAGTTTGCCCTCCTGCTTTCAGAGATGAGACCAATGTCCCAGACAGAATGACAATAACTGGGCAAGCAAAGCACAGTTGTTGGCCTTACTTCTCAATGCCTGGGTCCATTTCTCTTTCCAAGTACAATGTAAATGCACCTAAATGCAGAAAGCATATTAAGCAAACAGTTCCAAAAAGGCTCTAATATTAAGATTATTCCAAGAACTATTCAAAATCTAGCCCTTCAAACCTTTGACATATACCCTCACCTGGCCTGTATAGAAACTTCTCTTGATTTATCCGTCAACAATGATCTCAAATTGCAGGATCTGACCACCCCCAAAATTCCCATCATCACTCCATCAGCATTTCTTCTCCTCAGTAAAAGAACCTAGAACTATCCCTTTAATGTTGGTGGTTCCTGGTGCCCCATCATCCAATCTTCTCACTCTGTACCAGTGGCTACACATTAGAATTGCTTGGGGAAGCTTTCAAAAAATCCTGGTGCCCAAGTCCAGCTCAGGTGCATCATAATCTTGGGAAAGAAGGAGTGGGGATTGGGGTCCTGGAAATGTCTGTCTGGTTTTGTTTGGTTTTAAGCACTCCAGGTGATTCCAATGTGCAGGCAGGGCTAAAAAGCATTCCTCCATCCAGTCTTCTTGATCTCCTCCTTTCTTCCCACATCCATTTCCAGCCTCAAGCTCTTTCCAAACTCCAAACCTATATATTCCCTTGCCTTCTAGACCTGCATATTCACAAGCACCTCTGATTCAAATAATCAACATTCAGAGAAATGTTATCTTCTCCTCTATCTGTTCTTTAATTGCTTGTTTCAATGGATAAAAATTATCACCTACTCATTGAGTGAGCCAACTTTCTCTGTAAAGAAAGAGCCACACAGTAAATGTTTGGCTCTGCAGGCCAAACAGCCTTTGTCACTATTACTCATCTCTGCTGTTGTGGCACAAAAGCAGTCACAGATATGTAGTTTCAGCGTAGCTATATTCTAATAAAACTTTACTTATAAACATTGAAATGTTAATTTTATATAATTTCCACATGTCACAAAATAGTATACTTCTTTTGATTTTTTTCCAACGATTCAAAGATGTAGGAAACATTCTTAGTTTGTGGGCCATGCAAAAACTGGCAGTGGGTTGTAGTTTGCCAACCCAGGTCTACCCTCTTGTCAAGCTAGAAATCCCAGTTGTTTCAATTACTTTCTTAGCCACCAGAGTCAACTGTTAACTCTCACAAAATACTTTAACAGTTTATGGCCTCCCCCAAGTTGACATTAAGATCCTTGAGGGTGAATGGAGGTTGCAGTGAGCTATGGTTTTGCTGCTGCGCTCCAGCCTGGGTGGCAGAGTGGGATCTTGTCTCTAAAAAATAAAAAGATCCCTGAGGGTAAGGATTGTGTCTTAATATCCACAGAGCCTAGCAGAGTGCCTAGAGCACTGTAAGCAATTTTCCTTTAAGTCTGTCCCCTAGTTCAAAATACACAGAAAGTCCATCACCATGAAAGGCCACTATATATCCTACTAATTTGAATCTTTATTTTTTAGTTTAACTTATTATTGAACTTCATAGTAAGGTTTAAAGGGAGAAAAAAAATTCAGTAAATTTTAAAATGCATTAAATAAAGGTTCAGGCAGACATGGTCCATATTTCTTATTAAGCGCAAATAATAATGATCACTGCTATTCAATTCTTTAATAACTGCTTAATTTCTGCTTTCTGGGTACTTTTTCTGCTAGAAATTTGAGACAGTCAGCCAGGCACGGTGGCTCATGCCTGTAATCCAAGCACTTTGGAGGCCAACGCGGGCAGATCACCTGAGGTCGGGAGTTCAAGACCAGCCTGACCAACATGGTGAAACCCCATCTTTAAAAAAAAAAAGAAATTTGAGACAGTCAACTTGGTCAAATCTTGGACGATGTCAATACATGGCTGATTACCAATTACAGATAATCAGAACACATCAAAAAGCAGCAGCTCAACAAGGATCAGAATAAAAATAGGTATTATATATTAAAGTACTTACTATGTGTCAGACACTGTATCAAACTGTACAATGTAAATTATTTAAGGTTACATTCAAAACAGTACAGAAAATAGATACTTCACGTTGAAGATACTACCAATGAAGAAATTATGGCACAGAGTGGTTATTAATAAATAACTTGTCCACAAACAACTGGTACATAGCAAAACTGAGACTCAAACCCAGGTGCATATGACTCCAAAATCTGCTCTCACCTACTGGCTAAATAAAGCCTATATTTCATGTATGTCAACGAACACAAGAGGAAAAGAGCTTTATCCAAAAGGAGCTGAATGAAAAGTTTTAAAGCCCTGTTTGAAATATATCAGAAGTGTCATATACTCCTATGTATGGTGCAATGTACACAGCCAGTGAGGCTTTCCAATCATGGTCTAATTAAATGAATAAAACAAATGGGAAGAGTCAATTTGTGGATATGGCAGACCCTCCTATCCCAAAGATGG